AGAATTGAGGCAATGGAAGTCAGAATTAGTGAGAATGAAGATAAAGCACTTGACACCAATTTATTTGAGGAAAAATCAGATAAAAGGATTTTAAAAAATGAAGAAACCCAAAGAATTATGTGGGACTCTATCAAGAGGAATAACCTACGAGTGATTGGAGTACCAGAACAGAGGGGACAACAGAAAATACAGAGAGAATTGTTGAAGATTTGTTGGCAGAAAACTTCCCTGATACCATGAAAGATGACAAGATATCTAGCCAAGATGCTCATCAACTCCCACATAAGGTAGATCCCAAAAGAAAGTCACCAAGACATAGAATCAAACTCACCAAACCAAACATAAAGAGAATTTTAAGAGCCACTAGGGATAAACAAAAAGTCATCTACAAAGGAGAGTCAATAAGAATAAGCTCGGACTACTGAGCAGAAACCATGCAGGCAAGAAAGCAATGGTATGACATATATAAAGCCTTGAAGGAGAAAAACTGCCAGCCAAGAATTATACATCCAGAAAACTGTCTCTCAAATATGATGGTGAAATTAGGGCATTTCCAGATAAATTGAAGTTTAGGGAATTTGCAAAAACCAAACCAAAATTACAAAAAATACTAAAGGTGTCCTCCAGTAAGAAAATCAGTAACATCAGATAACAACCCAAGACTAGAACACAGGACAGAACAACCAGATATCAATCCAGATAGGGAAGTCACAAAAGTAAATCAAAGCTAAAACACTGAAAATAGGGAAACAGATGTCAATATGTAGACGATGACAACATTAAAACAAAAAAGAGGGACTTAAAAAATGTAGACACAGATTTTTCATATGGAGAGAAAGTCAAGGCGATATAAAGAAATAATAGACTGGTATAAACTTAGAAAAATAGGGGTAAATGTTAAGATAACCACAAAGGAAGCTAACAACCCTACAAGTCAAAATAAAAAACTAGAAAAATATAATCACTCAGCAAACCCAAAATCAAGAACAATGAAAAAGATGAAAAGAAAATACATAAATAAAAACGACTCAGCACAGAAAATTAAGAGGAACAAAGAAACTGCCAACAACACACTAAGAAAGATATCAGAATGACAGCACTAAACTCATACCTATCAATAATTACACTGAATGTAAATGGACTAAATGCACCAATAAAGAGACAGAGAGTGGCAGATTGGATAAAAAAACACGATCCATCTATATGCTGCCTACAAGAGACACACCTTAGACTTAAAGACACAAACAAACTAAAACTCAAAATGGAAAAAATATATAT